TAAACTGAATTATGATTCATGCTGCAACATGGATTGGAGCTTGTCTCACACAAGGAATCATCAGGAAGCAACAAGCAGTTGAGGATGAACCCAGAGCATGCCTGCAATTTTAATGACAAGAGCCAATCCTCACCAGGCCCGTTTGTTTGTTATGGTGAGCTCATTTTGGATGCTGCCACCCAAAGAGCATCATTCTCTTCCTCTGTGACTCAGGCACAAGCACGTAGGACGGTGATCTTGCACGAGGCTTAATGTTTCAGGCAATGTGTATCCTGTTTGGAGTAACATTAACAGAGCATTTTGGCACATGCAGGCACACCAACAGATTGCAAAACCACAGCGAACTCCAAGGAAAAGAAGCTGTTCCCTCAGATGGCTCTCCATCCGTTGATGTAAGCCAGCCAGCTCTTCCCCCTTGCATTTCATCCCAAGATTTGTCTGGGTTTTTTATCTGCCTCCTACTTACAGGCAAGGTGATGGAATGCTGCTGGGTATGGGAATGTTCCAGAATTGAATCCAGCTGCTCTTTAAGGGCTTCATTATCAATTGACAGCTGTATAGCTTAGCCAGAGGAAGAGCAAGGCAAGCATAGCTTCTTCTCTGCTTCTGGTTCCAGGTAGTTAACTTGTGCACATTAGTCCTGTACTCCCATTTTCTGAGACTAAGAGCAAATAATGGTCCAACACATGGAAATGCTAATGTGCCTCTGTTCCTGTGACCAGCCCTGCAAAGCCCTGTCACCCTTGCTGTGATCATGCTGGTTACAAGTTCCAACATGGCATAACCTGATTTGCTGAAGGAGGTGTGAGTGTCCCAGAACTGTGTTCTTGCACTGATCAGATTTGCCTGAGAAGAGATCACACCTTCCCTCCTTGTCTCTGCTGCAAATCCATGGCAGATTGACTGACATTAATGATCTAGGAGAGAAGGTTCTCCACATCCCTTTTCATTAATAGAGAAGGTCCTACTCTTTGTATATAAATTGCATTTCAGTGGTTTTGGAAATTCTGTAGTTTAATGAGGTGAATGTTCTTCCTAAGAATGACAGGTTTGCTACTGGTGCTGTTGATTTTTATGATGTTTTATGTCCTTGACGTTTCATAGGTTGGAATAAACTAGGCAAAGTAGAAAGCCAAAAAGCAAATAATGTTTAACATCTGTCAGGTGTTCTGTTGACACAGTGAAAAGAGAATGTGGAGTTACAGGTACTTTTTTTTTAAATGGAGGTTTACAAATTGAAATAGCCCAAGTGAAAATCTTGAGATGAAAACTAGCTTCAGCTTAATGGGTTAGGAGTAGGGCAGTGGGTATGATTCCTTCCTTCCTGCCCAAAATACTCTAGGGACACTTAAGCTTTTCTAGTGTGAGGTGTATGGCTGGGGCAACAGAGCAAGCAAGAGCCTAAAGCCTTCTTTATCCTCCCAGAAAGTGTCTGACTGAAAGGTGGCAGCCAAAACTTCTGTAATGCTCCATGGAGACATTAGCATTAAGGATGGCCTGATGTAGTAATATTTATCTTTCTCTTACAAGCAACTTTTTGTTATATTGGCTAGAATCACATCCCCAAAATCAGGAAGATCAGGAGCTGTGCTAATGAATGGTGACAGAGACTGCAGCTGAAGCCGTGGGTCTCTGCCTGCATACAGCTGGTTAAAAAAAAATAAAATCAGCCTGAGAGAGAAATATCCTTATCACCATTTCCACTGGAACTTACAAGATCCCAGAGAGCTTCTGCCCCTGGAGAATCTCCTTCCTGGAGGTGCTTGTCTTCCTTCTACCCTTGTTGTCCCTCAAAATGTGTGTGTTGAGGAGCAGCCAGGGCAGGTCTGGTGAGAGCCTCTCTGCTCTCCCAGCTGGGGAGCACTGCCTGCTTCAACTGGGGGTGTGATTTGTCTCCCATCACACCTGTGGCCAAGGTCAATAAGACCCAAGCACTCTCTCCACTCCTGGTTTTCACTGAGGAACCAAAAAAGGACTTTAACAGGGAGTATTAAACAATTTCCTGCCTGCAGGTGAGTCAGGGTTCATTGGGGTGTTCTCAGCAGGGCGCAGCAGTCCCACAGCTACTCCACAGGACAGGCCCAGTTCTGCTGGGATGCCCAGTACTGCAGGGAACTGTTGTGCAGATCCCATTTTCTATCCATGTGTTGGCCACAATAAGGATGCACCTTGGCACCAGCTCCACATTCCTTGCTGGCCAAGGCTGGCAGCTGTTACTGGGACAGATATGATAGCCTACAAGGGTGTGAGTGAGTAGCATTGGAGAAGTAGCTTTATTTCAGAAAAAGATCCATATTGAGCAACTTGACAATGCAAACTGCTTTCTCCTGGCAGAAATTCCCAGTAGCTGGGAGATCTTGGTTTTACTCAGTGATTTTTTTTTTCCTCTCTCTTTGTATTGGAGCTCATTTGTTTCTTACTGATTAAAAGAAAAAAAACTTTGGAACCAGCAGAAATGATTTACAGTTTAGTTCTTTAGAATAGGAAAATCAATCAAAATATTTTAAAAATAGAAGATAATAACTGGAGCCGCTCATCAAGATTTAGGACTAACTGCAGGCTTGATTGAGGACTCTAAAATTAGCTTTTATTTTATTTTTCATGTAAGCATGTGCAAAGCATAACTCAGTAATTATCAAACTGAAATGTCACTGAAAAATAGCTTAACTGGATCTTCGTATTAGATTAAAACAGAATGTCTTTTCCTGCTGTAAATCTCTTCAGCAAGAGCTCTCTGTCTCAGAACATGTAGCTCCTTGTTTGAGAATGTTTCCACTTCAGATATTTTGCAAGGCATAAGCCTGTATATATACTCCACTTCAGTAGGAATACTCTGATTTACACCAGGTGTTGAGTTGGGTCTACATTTATTCTTTGCTAGTCCATTTACGTTCCTCTCTCCATGGATTAAGGTCTGCTGAAAACTGGTGTCACCAATTAGCAGACTCAGTGCTGTCCTGAGCTGCCCCTTGTCCGTGTCCTCCTTGAATCTTCAGTGCTTGTGAGCAAGGGTGGAGCCAGCTGAGACATGGAACTTAAAAATGCATTTTCCTGCCCGAAGTTTTTGTGCCACTTCTTTCTGTAGCTCTCAATCATTCCAAGATTAGAAAACCATCCAAAAAAATCACTGTGTGCAGTATGGTCTGCCCCATTCCCATCCCTGCAAATTGAGGTTATTTAATGATATAAAGAACAAAGAAGCTGTGATTGTATGCAAACATGCAGTTTTAGTTTTGATTGTAAAACATTCTGCATTGCTCCCAAATTGCAATAAAAATTGAAGTCTTTATGCATCCTGATGAATAAAAACGGGTGATTTCTAAGTTAAGTAAGTTTTGCATAACACCTGACAGGCACCAAAGGGGACTCTGGAGACTGGGTCCCTGTTCCAGTTACTCATAATGCTGGGCTGTAATGAACTCACTTAGCTCTTAGCTGCTCTATTGCAAAACTGAAAATACTTAATAGATCATCTAAATGGGGCATCTGGGCATCTGTTCCAAATGTTGGTCTCCTTCCTTCCCTCTTACAAAATAATGGTACTTCTTTATTCAAATTACCTTATTTTGTACAGGGCAATGGTGTTGTCATGAGAAGAAAGCAAAAATTAATTGCCTAAAATAAAAGTAGAAGAGTGTTTCCAGTATGGCAGGGATAGGGATTTATGTAAGAGCCAAATTTGCCCTCTCTTGCTGTTTTTAAATTAATATTAAATAATACATGTATGTATGAACATTTCAGAAGGAGTTAAAGAGTTTCTTCAAATTAAATCATTGCCAAATTTGGGCTAAAATTTCTGTTCAAAAATTCCTTTAAAGCAGGAAATGCTTTAAGGTAGAAAAAGAATTAAACCTCTCATCCTGGAGGCATCCAACTAAATGTCTTCATTTCAAAGTGGTGTGGGTTTTTTTCCCAGCAGAGTTTCTTCCAGAAGCCATCTGATTAAACATTAGCAAAGCTATTCAGTCAATCAAAATACCTGGACATTATTTTTCTTTGTGGGGGGAAAAAAAATAAATCTGAAAATGTTTTCCTAGCTCTCATAATTGCATCAGGCAGAACTTTGTTATCCTCCTATGACCTCCAAGTCCTGGATGGCTCTTTCAGTTTAGTCTGAGCTTCTTCTAAATAGAAACTACCAAATCCAGGGCTGCTTCATGAACCATAAAGTACATTAGCCATCAAAAGAAATGGAAACTTTCCTCCATTTGCTGAAGAATTAATAAGCAAAGTGCAAGGATGGTTACAGTTTAAGAGGCAGGAGCACAGACCTGGTTGCCTGGAAACAGGAGGATGCCTTAGGAAAGTCACACCAGGCTTGCTTAGGAGAGCAGTTCCAACACAAACTGATGCACAACTTGTCCTTTTTACAAACATTATTTTTCTTATTGCTTTTTAGCAAGTCTTTAATAAGTTCCAAAATTAATTCAGTGTTTACCATGTATTTCAGTGTGAGGCTATATCAAGCAGTATCCAGGAGTTAGAATAGTTAGGACCCTTATCTGAATAGGGGTCCCACATCCAAACTTTGAGGAAATTATTCAGATTTCATAATTGCTCTTTTTCTTTTACTGATGATCAAACTGCTCAGGGGTGCTCAAACCTTGGTCAACCTATACAGCTAAAGCAAGAAGAACTTTGGGTGTTTTGCCAGAGCCATACATGAAGCTGGGTTCAGTTTAAAGCCTGTTGTACATCTCAGCCAAGCTTATTTAAAGCAGTGTGCCTAAAATAAGTTATATGTCTGCAGGAAAACCAATACCAAATCCTGACCAGCTGTGGGAAAACCAAAAGTAATAATTGTATTAACATTGCCAATACATTCAATTTTCAGGCATGCTTTCCATGCAACTTCATCAGCAAAACCACATAAATAATATCTCCTGTGCTAAAAAGACCTTCAGGATCCAGCATATATTATGGCTTATGAGTATGACATTATATTTAAACCACAGCTGACCTAAATTGTTCTGCCAGTTCTCACCTGTGACCTTTTCTAGGCATGTGGAGCTCTGGGGACATCCTTAACAGTCAAAGGAAAAATGGAATTTCTTTGGAATTACGCTCCTGGACTCAGCTTCACAACAGAGCCCCAGCTTTGTGCTGCGAGGACATGTGAGAAGGAAATGCAGGTGTCCCAGGTTCTGGCATCACAGCCCTTTGAATGTGATGACTAACTTGATGAAAGCATCCAGAACACTGGGTAAAAAAACAAAATTAAAATCCAACACTTTGTCTAAAATATGTCTCCCTTCAATGATTATTTATGCCCCTGGAAGTGAGCGTGGGAAATGTCTTGCCTTTCATGCTGTGTTTTGCAGAACATTTGATGCTCCCAGCGTCTGAGTAGCAGAAGTAGACACACTAAGAACAGGCTTTTTCAGAGTTCCCAGGCATGGAAAGAGTTACTTTGTTCAAAAATGAGTTAAAAAATACTTTAAAGGCCAGAAAAGAATAGATTCAGGATACCAGCTTTATCCTTACACCTTCACCCTCTGATAGCTTGAACCTTTCATTACCACAGTTTCTCTGTGTGTTAAGGTGGAGATAATGCATTTTTCCTGGGACTATTGTGACAGCAAGTGCTTTGCCAATTGCTTTGATGTCTTTGAAGGAAAAAATACTCTATTTGCTTAAATTTAGACTGACAGAACATTTGAATCAGGTGCAGGTGGCTTTGACCAGATTTCTGTAGAGGCCTTTATTGCATAAGGTATGGTGCTTTTATCAAACACGGCTTTCCTTTTTTCATTGCTTCCCAAACGATCGTGATGTCCCCCACAATGTGACACTTTTGCTGAGAACTGTTTGTTCTTGCTTAACTCCTGTGTGTGCTGAGAAATAGGAATATTTCATGAGCGTCTTTGTGCCTGGTAATTTTATCAGTTCTTATCAGGTTGCAGAGAAAGAAGTGGCAGTAAATTGGATGTCTTACCTTGAAAAGCTTTCAAAAAGGAAACGTGACATGGTGAATAGATGCCTGGAGGGTAAGGGTTTTTTTCTTCTTGGGTTACAGGAACGCAGACAGGTCAATATGACAGAGCTGTGTTAGTATTCATGAGACGACTTTTCGTTTGCCTCGAGAGCTCACTGTAATGGCTTGAGAAACATGCTCCACTGTGGTGGCTAAATGGCAGATTGTATCCAGCATCACAGGCTGGGGGAATGCTGACAGGTCCCGAATACCAATAAAGTAGGAGCTGATGATTGCTGCAATTTGCCAGTGGCTGTGAAGGGCCTGAGACAGACAGCAAAACCTTCCCTTTTGCTTCTCTTGTGGGTGTTTGCCAGAGTTCACAGGGAATACTGCACAGCAGCTCAGACAACTAAGGAATTTTCTTATTTCATTGGGTCACATGGCACTAGGCCTAGGCAAGCATAGCTTCATTCTGTGACCCCAGCATCCTGGAATCTTAAAAGGGTTCTTCCCAAAGACATAAATTAAACCTTGTGTTATCAACCAAAAGGAGGAAGGGGAACGAGGGCAAGGGCGAGTCCCTTAAGTATAGCTGGTTGTCAGCAATGGTCTATTTGTATAAAATCTGAATGTTAAAATTGGGTGAACATCCTGCTGTGGTTAGATTAAATTCTTTACCTTGTTTGAAAAAATACTAGGTTAAACATCACCATTTCATTATTTTACCTAGCACTCTTCAGTACCATGGGCCAATACTTCAGTTGGCATAAATCAACATCATTAGGCATATAACAGCAGCTGAGGCCCAAGAGCTTGTTTGGATGGGTAGATCTGCATTTAGCCTTACATTCTTGGTTCTTTCTCCCTGTGTTATTTTTGGGTTTGTTCCCAGCTTGTTTCTCTATTTGTGAGATTTCTTCCTAAACACTAGAGAAATAAGCATGTCACATCCATTATGAACAGCCTGCTTACCATTTCTTCAGATCCCTGTGTTTGGGGCACTCACAGCAAATCTGATGCAGCCAGACCTTGGCACATAATGGCTCCTGTGCCGTTGCTTTTCCTTGAGGCAGCATCCCATCAGTGCTGGCACGAGCAGCTCTGGAGGCAGCATCCACCTGAGCTCTGTGCACACTGTGCCCAAACCCAGCCTGCAGGCAGGCAGGTCTTGCTGTTCTTCAATCAACAGATCAGCAAACAGAGGCCAAGAAGAGCCATCAGTCTGCCTGGTCCTGATGTTTGCAGCCTGAGCATGGATAGGTGCCCAACCTCATGAGCTCTCTTTGCTGCTGCTTTGCTGATGAAATTACACTTCGTGATGAGCACAGCCACAGAGGAGGCAGCTACTGCAAACAAGAAGCAGGCATAGACATGCTGAGGTACGTGTACAAATTATGGACTCAGCAACTGTGGTTTTGTACTGATTTAAATGGAATACACTTGGAGAGGATGAGAGAATCCAATGGATTCAGGATTTTGTCATTTGTCTGCTGCTGGGTGAGGCACAGAGGGCCTGCCTGGAACAGCTCCCTGGAGCAGAGCAGCCAGGTCCTTTCCAAGCAGCTTTCCTTACCAAACAGGAGAGTAGGAATTGTGTCCTAGCTGATACTGGGGTGCCCTACTGGACATAAGCATTCCCCAGGCACTATCATTCCAGTTAAATATGTTACCATGGCACATATTTTGCAGGCAGATGATTTAAGCTTTTTTGTTAATTAATTATTATTAGGCTGTACTTCGGCTGTAGAGGAAGCAGTGTGAAGAGCCCTTGTTGCTTCAAGCCTGGAGGTAATAATTAAAAGCAGACTTTATATGGTGAAAAACACTGAGTCTGCTCCCAGCTCCTCTGCAATGCCTTCACCCGTGTTACAGCTGGGGTGACTCACAGGAAAATGCCACAAGACACCCGGGGCTGCGTGTCTGCGAGGAAGGCGACGCCAGGTCCTGTGTCACAGGGACACCTGCTGGAGCAAAGCCTCGCAACAGCTGGAGCCAGAGCCCTGCACTGTGGTTATGGTTTGAAATACAGCTGAACTCTCATTTAAATGCAACTAAGCTCTCATTATTTTCTTTCCTCAGCTAATTGTACTGCTCTGTGTCTTTGTTAAATTTCCCAAGCATCAGCACATATTGAGCAGAGGATTAAAAATTCTCTTTGATTTACATGATAACACAGATGACTGACCTTGTGCCATATTACAGCACTTATCAAAATGCTGCTTCTGTAAGAGAGTTTCTTGCTCCTGCTGCTTCTGTGAAGAGTCCTGGCTTAGTCCTTAGGGAGGTGTGGGGCTGCTTTGTCCCCTCTGACCAGAATGTCATCTGGAGCTGACACTGCTGCACAACCTTGAGGAAAGAGGCTGTGTGCTTTGTCTGTGGCATAAGGAGAGCAGCATAATACTCCTTTCACACTATGTGTTACAGTCAACATCCCACGCGTTCCTTTCTCTACTCCTCAGGGGCAACAAGTACCCTTAGAAGCAAATGGAAGGAGCACACCTTATTCCTTAGGATCACTCTGATAACAAGCTTGATTCCTGCCATGCAGAGCAGGGGACACTCCTTTGTGTGGTGGCTATTTCTGTCCCTGTGCTGTAGAGCTGTTAGTACTGGCTTTAAGAGATTTACTGCTTAAGCATTTAGGAATAGTAAGTTAATCACTTTAAATCGCATCTCTAACAAGGAAATTTCATTCTGAATTTTGAAGTGTTGCAGTAATACCCTTGGGAGCAGTATCACTGGGGACTGCTAAGGGCGTAAAGTACAGTTCTTTTCTTGACAACTAAGCAAGCACCATTGATTCACTCTGCTGCAGCTGGGGTATGGTGTTGAAGTATTGATAATTGTGCAACTGATGATACCAGGTCATCATCTCTCTGTGCCTCTAGTGAGCTGTAGGACAAGCAAGGGAAATTGTCATGTTTTCGGTTCCTTCCGTTCAGGTGAGTTTGATGATCATCAGACAATTCATATCCCCAAGTACCCAAATCCTTCTGATTGATCAAAGAGTGGTGATCTCGAAGATATTTGAATTTGAGATCCCTTCTGCATGGCTGCTCTCCAGCCATTCCTCCCAACTTATACTTAGTTACTCCACTCTAGATACAGAATTTGGCATTTTGACTTGTTCAGTTTCATCCCAGCTGTCAGTGGTCAGTGAATGCCCCAATCTACTCATATCCCTCTGCAAGGCATCTTGAAATGGCTAATGCAACATTTTCAAAAACAAGCATAAGATTCTGTGAACTACTAATGTCTAATATTGTGATGTAAAATTGAAAATGTGGGGTTGTGCTGATGTGAGTTCCTCAAGGAGAATGGCATTGTCTAGGTCAGGTTTCAGTCTCAATCAATAATCGATGTGCCCTGGGAAAAACAAAGCCATTTGCCAAAGAGGAATTTGGTAAAGCTTCTGCTCTTCCATTCCCATGTTACACCTACAAGGCTGATAACTGATAATCCTTCTGTGGCAAGAAATAAGTGTAAATACATGCCTATTTATGCATACATATAAAACAGGGGTAAAATCTAGCATGTGTTAACTATTGTGAGGCCTTTCTTCTCCTCCTGTAGATGTAACCTTCATCCATATTGTAGATCAGGGACAGAGAGGCCCTTTGTACCACTGAGTTCTGCAAACACGGCTCCTAAGTGCTCAGAGGATGGCTATCAATCATTAGAACTTAGATTAGCTCTCAAGTCCATGCAAAGACAAATCTCTCCACTCTTCTTTCTTGTCACCACTATTGATGAGCATCAGTCGGAAGTTTCACTTCCTTTGATAATGTCATTTTAGATGTTTGTTTCAAGCTTTTATGATGCAGAATCTCTCATGGAAAATGACAGGTAATACAGTTCTCTAGTACAGATGCTGAACTGGAAAAAAATGTTTTGCACAGTATTTTCTCAGTACTCCTAGAATCCATCTAGGCAAAACTGGAGCATGTGATGTACTAGTATTTGGTTCTGAAGTAATATATCTACTTACTATTTATGTATTCAGTTCAGGAAACTGTCTGCCTTTAGTACTGCTGATACAGCAGCGTGTTCAACAACTGCAGAACCCAAATCCTATTTACCAGCAGGTAACCAAGCAGAGGAGCTCAGTGCCACAGCTAGCAGACCAGGCGTCACCTCAGATCTCTAACTGGCAAAATTCCAGTGTTTTTGCAAATAAGCAGCTTGGGCAGTATAGAGACTGCAGAGCTCATGAGT